CGATCCATCGGCGATGCATCGCCGATCCAACTCAGTGCTTCCCCCCTGAACCAGTCCCTCCCCCTCTCTTCGCCCCCCCTCTCAAAGTGTGGCGTGGCTCGCAGCCCCAGCGCCGAGGATTCATATGAGTGCTCGGGCCAGCGAGTGCTGCTCATGTCTATGGACTTCTTCCACGTACCCCTGCTGTGCACGCCCGTACTCCAGCACACACACACACACATTCAACAATTTCATGCTCTGAGCGTGCTCCGAACTCCTCCCCCATGCCCGCGCTCCTCCCGCTCCTGCTGTGCCCACTGAGGCACCGTAGTGTCCTTCGGCTGCCTTCGAACGCGGAGTGGATCTGCGCCGCTGCGACCAAAAAAGTGCTCGGGCCAAAGCCGCGGCGCACGCCTTCGCGGCGGAGCGCCGCGCCGCAGTTTGCGGGCACACGTCCTCGCCGGCCCCCGCTCGGGGGGGGGGGAGTCCGAGCGGGAGAAGGAGGATCCCCCCGAGGACACGGGCGTGTCCAGAATAGGCGGTGCGGAGAACGAGGGCAGCCCCGCCGCCGAAGACTTGTAGGGGTGCCCGGGCGAACGCCTCGGCGCACACCTTCGCGACTGAGCGCCTCGCTGGGCCACGCTGTGTTTGGCAGCGGCGTGCGGGTGCACGTCCTCGCCTGCCCGCGCCAGGGACCAGGGGAGGGAGGGGGAGGAGGAGGCCCCTCCCCGAGGATACCGGCGTGTCGAGAATAGGCGGTGCGGAGAAGAAGGAGGACGAGGACACCAAGGTGGATGACCTGGCGCTGCTCTGGGAGGACCAGGGGGAGCGCAGGTCGTCGGGACGCTTCGCCCCCCGCCCGCCCCCCCCCCCCCCCACCCACCCTGCTCCTTCCCCTGCCTGCTCCTTCCCCCCACCACTCCCCCCACCATCACCAACATCGGCATCCTTAATGTCCTGCCGGTGCTGCTGTCGTCCCCCTGCTGCTGGTCCTCCTCCTCGTCCTGTCTGTCGCCCTCGTCCCCCCCCCCCCTCCCCTCTGCTCGCTCCTCCTCCTCCTCCTCCTCCTCCTCCTCCTCCTCATCATCATCATCATTCTCCTCCTCCCGTTACTTCTGCGGGTGCTCCTGCTGTTGCGGCCAAGGCCCCCCCCGCTCCGCGCTTCTCCTTCTGGGGGGTGCACGTGTGGGGGGAGGGGAGGCCGGGAGCAGCAGAGAAGGATACGGGAGTGGGGAGCTAGGGGAGAGAAGGAAAGAGGCGAGAGGAGGGGGAGCGGATGGGAGTGATGGGAGAAGCAGATGGGATGGGAAGCGGATGGGAGTGTGGATAGGATGGAGGGAAGTAAGAGTGGGGCAAGCTAGGCGCGCTCGCGCCTCATCTGACATCCTATCCCTCCCTGCCATCCCTTCCCATTGGGTTGATGTTTTCTTTATCCGCGGACGCGTGACCTGCAACTCCAACAAAAAGGCCACATCGCGTTATGCGCAATCGGAAAAGAGGCTGCATGCCTCGGAAGAGGAGGTGCTGGATGATCGGGAGGATAAGCGGGAGGAAAAGGACGAGCACGAACAGCAGCAGCAGGAATTGGAGCGGAAGGAGCGGGAGGGGCAGGAGGACCAGGGAAAGGCGGAGGAAGGGGGCGACGACGAGGAAGCAGGACGCGGGTCAAGAAGTGTGGCCCGCGCTGGGGCGAGAGCACTCTTCTGAACGACGGGAGCACACCGCCGATCCGAATATGAGGCCCACGCTGCAGCGGGAGGACCGTCTTTGAAGCACCGAAGCAATCGGAGTGCGAACACGCACGAGACAAATCACACACGCAAATCAGCACGCGGAGAGGGTCCGGGGTCATTTCCAGGCCGAGTCAGGGGAGTGAGGGGAGCAGCACTCAGATAGGTCAATTGTAAAGGAGGGGGAGGAGGAGGAGGAGGAGGGGGAGGAGGAGGAGGAGGAGGAGGAGGAGGAGGAGGAGGAGGAGGAGGAGGAGGAGGAGGAGGAGGAGAAGGAGGAGGGGGAGGAGGGAGGAGGAGGAGGAGGAGGAGGAGGAGGAGGAGGAGGAGGAGGAGGAGAGGAGGAGGAGGAGGAGGAGGAGGGGAGGGGAGGAGGGGGAGGGGGAGGAGGGGAGGAGGTGGAGGAGGAGGAGGAGGGAGGAGGAGGAGGCAAGGGGGGGGGGTGCGGGAGGGCCGATCCTGGGGCTGCCCTGTGGGCAGCGTTGTTGCCGCCCCCCGCTCTCCCTGCCCTCGGCGTCACCCCAACATACTTATACTACATGTGCGTCGCCCCCCCTGGGGCGACGTGCGCACCGAGAAATCCTATAGCAGATGCGTCCTGGCGGGCGCTTTCTGGCCACACCGCTCGAGAAACGATCTGATACAAGGCGGGTGTACTATTGTACGTTCGAGTCGGACGCGCGCCTCCGATGCAGACAGCTAGTCTTGGTATGTCTCTGTGCGTCCCATCCCTGCCCCGTGGAGAGGACACCGAGCAGCAGAAGTTCTACGAGGACCTCTGCGAGCTCAAGGACGGCCGCCGGCCAGCCGCCCGCAGCTTCTCTCGGCACAAGAGGCGTCCAGGAACTCCTTGGCTCGGCGTGTCGCTCTGCGGGCGCTGGCCCACCACGCTTCGGCGCGATACGCCATCCACGTCCCCACTGTCTGAGTAGGAGGATCGACTGCGTAATTCATGTACCCCAAAGTTTATTTGGTCGTCGACTCAGCGTAACAGATGCGTATAATGTTCGTCGTGTGCTGTTCGTGGATTTGCGAGCACTGCACTAGTCTTGTAGATCCGACGAGCAAGTCTTCTATTTTGAAGTAGACCATTGGAGTAGTCGACTCCTTACTTGAGTTGCCTGTGGCAAATCAGGAGGGCCATGTGTGTCCTCGTGACTCCCAGCGTAAAGCGTACGCTGGCGTTCGAAGACGGCCGGGGACGTGCCCAGGACCGCACAGCAGCATCCGAATCACGCTCGGTGGCGGCGACGGCGACAACGCTGCTATTGTGGCCGATGGGGGGAGGAAGAGGAGGAGGGAGGAGGAGGAGGAGGAGGAGGAGGAGGAGGAAGAGGAGGAGGGAGGAGGAGGCGGAGGAGGAGGAGGAGGAGGAGGGAGGAGGAGGAGGAGGAGGACGACGAGGGCGCCCCTCCCGAAGCGAAGGGAAAAGGGCGCGATCGCGTCGCGTGCCTGCCCGCTGGTCGCGGCGGGCGCGCGCCGTGCCGCTCGCGGCCGCCCCTGCACGGGCTGGGGGCCGCACTGGCGGCGGCCTGATGAGGGTGCCCAGACCCCCCCGAGCAATGGACAAGTCACGACGGGAGGTTTTTGTTTTTGTTGTTGTTGTTGATGTTGTTGCTGTTGTTGTTGTTGTTGTCGTTGTTGTCGTTGTTGTCGTTGTTGTTGTTGTTGTTGTCGTCGTCGTCGTCGTCGTCGTCGTCGTCGTTGTTGTTGTTGTCGTTGTCGTTGTTGTTGTTGTTGTTGTTGTTGTTGTTGTTGTTGTCGTTGTTGTTGTTGTTGTTGTTGTTGTTGAACATTATTAATTCTAAAGAATAATTATTGTTGGGACCCCTGGTGCACGGCCCCCCTGCGCCGCCTAGGCCGCAGCTACATTTTCATCATTTTCGTGAGGAAGCCTCAGGTAATTCGATGTGATCAAGATCCGGTTGTTTTGTTCCCCCCCGCTTTCCCTTGCAAAAAACACTATAAAATGACATTTCTTGTTCTAATATAATCAAATTTCAAGAATCCCTTGCAAAAAATAAGGTAAAGTGGACATTCGCGCGCGCAAGACGAAATCCTTCCAAAAGCTTAGTGTTCGGAGCGATTTTAACATAAAAACATCAAAAAACCAATGGTTTTTCAACAAAAAAATGTCAAAATCTCATCCCGCGCGCTCTTGCGGATTCGTAGGAAACCCAACACTTTTTAAACATTTCTGTCAAACGGGCTTTTGCGAGCAACTTTTTCGAACTTCTGCAACAACGGTTGCGCACCTGCCAGGGCCATCATCCCTGTCAAATAATACCATGCGGGACACATTCGTTTTTTCTTCGCGCGCGCACGCCGTCGTCGTCGGCCGCGGGGCCCTGAATAGTAGCCACGGTCGTCCGCATGCCACGAAGTGAAGTGTCCGAACGTCATAGGGCGGGAAGCTGGGTGTGGGTGGTGGCGAAGAGTCGTTTGGAAATTTGGTAGAGCTTGAACCGGCCCCCCCACAAAGTGGGGGTATTGCCCGCCTCCTATGAAAACCCTGGCACTGGTGAGAACGGTGTGTCCCCACGTGCTAGTAATTGTTGTTGTTGTTGTTGTTGTTGTTGTTGTTGTTGTTGTTGTTGTTGTTGTTGTCGTTGTCGTTGTTGTTGTTGTTGTTGTTGTTGTTGTTGTTGTTGTTGTTGTTGTTGTTGTTGTCGTTGTTGTTGTCGTTGTCGTTGTTGCTGTTGTTGCTGCTATTTTCGGCCTCTGGGGGCCACGACCGGGTCTCGGGACCGTCAACAAAAACGACCCGGGACGAAACACCGGTGCCGGGGAAGGGGTCCAGACTTCTGGGGGTGGACGCAAGGAACAAGGCATGACGTCGGGGGTCTGGGTATCCAGTGCCTCCGATCTCTCCTCCCAGAGTGCTCCCTGCCGTGCACCAGCCACGCCGGCCGGTTGCCATTCCGGGCCTCGAACTTCAGCTCCGCGGGCGGAGCGTACAGTCGTCGAGCAGCTCCTCCGGGCACGCGGGCCCAGCCCGCGGCCCCCTCGGGCCAGCTCGCCATGGCACTCGCCGGCTCGCCTCCCCACGAGCCCGTGGCCAGACCATAGCCTACGCGATAGTTCGCCAGCCTGGGCCATCTGTGGTGCCGGTCGAGGGCGGCCGAGTGCTCTGCCTGGCGGAGCAGATGCTTCACAAGCGCCCGCCCCAGGCCGTCCGGACACATCGCCACCCTGAACCTCCCGCACCCTCTGGCGGCCAGCACCTTCAGCTCCGAGCTCTTCGCAGCCGAGCTCTCGGCCTCCTCCCTCTCGTATATATATATATATATGTGTATATATATATATACATATGTATATCGCTGGTCCTCGCCCTCAGCATGCGGCCCCTGTCTGGCGGGCCCAGCGGCAAGGGGTGTGGAGTGGGGCGCCCGATTCTTGGCGGCCCCACCGGCGGCGCCGTTGCCCGCGCCGCGAGCCTGGTGGCCCTGCTGCGGCCGCGCTCGCCTTCCTTGCTCAGGCGAGAGGCGCCGCCCAACGCCCTCAGCCTCCAGAGCTGATGGCTGCCCCAGCTCCACCATCAGGGGCAACGATAGGGGGGGATAGGCATAGGGGGGGACGCATCGACCCCCAATCGCCCATTGACCGCTGCTAGGGGCCCGATAGCCCCAACCTGCCCAGGAACGTGCGGATTCACAATCGGAGGCCTATCGCCGATCTATCGACGACGTATCGCCGATTCCAGGTCGATGCATGCCCTCCTATGCCCATCCCCCCTATCATTGCCCCTCACACCAGTGGCCCCGCCAGAGGCGGCAAGTGGAGGGCACGCTCGGCCACGGGTTGTCTCAGGGCCGCCATCCAGCTCTACTCCCGCACCGCCGCCTGGCTCACCCCTCGGCGCTCGTTCGCGATAGCCTCCGACCTCCTCGGGCTCCGCAGCTCCTTCGTCTCCAGGAAGCTCCCGCACTCCACCCAGAGGGCGGCCAAGGACTCCCGACGGCGTTGCACGCGCCGCTCAGTTCTGAAAGCTGGAGCCCCTCCGCGACGTCCAGGGCATGGCCGCCCGACGAGCCGCTCTTCAGACATTCGATGCCCAGGGCCGTGGGCCCCGGCGCCTCCGGGTCTCTGTGGCCGCGCTGCCCGCCAGCAGTCCCATCTCCGGCCTGGAGAGGTCAGCCTGCGGTCCCCAAGACGGTACCTCCGGGCACTCCGGGGGCTCGCCGTCCCCGGACCTCGCCTCCCGCGTGGGTCCCGGGGGCGTCCGAGAGCGCTGGCGCTGCCGAGGCCCGCCATCCTCGCCAGCCAGCAGTGTGGCCTGAGTCGGGCTTCGCGAAGTGCCCCTCGGCTCCTCCTCGCTCCTCCTCGCCGGGCCTGGGCGCTCCTCAGGGACTTTTTGGACAAGACAACCACAAGAGGCGCATCCGCTGGGGCCGCCACTCCTGCTTTGTCCTGACACGGGTAGAGCAAGACTCCATCTCGTAGGATTCGGCCCAAGTGCACACACCCGACGCGGGCGCACTTCTTGACGTCTGGTTTCGCCTGCTACATGTTGTTGTGCTGCCAGCAGAGGTTCGCCGCACAGGCCCCCCCCGCGGGTGTTCGACTTCTCCCCGTCCTCGCACAGCCGCTGCACCGCGCCGCATCAAGCCTTGTCCCCGCACTACTCCATGCTCAGCTGGAAGATCTTGCCCCCTCCTGGTAGTCATCTTCGAGCGCCGTGCACTTGGCGTCCTCGGGCTCAGACTCCGACTTCGAGTTCGGGTCCCTCAGCAGCTCCGCAGGTGGGTGCGACGCGGCACGCCTCGAACGGCATCCAGTCCGCCCGCGTTGCGCAAAAACGCCCCGCACAGCTTGACGCACCCCCTGAGGCCAAGGGCGCCGCGTCCTCGGCTGCGCGACTCCGAGTTCTGATCCCCCAGCAATTCCGCGGGTGGGTGCGACGCGGCACGCCTCGAACGGCATCCAGTCCGCCCGCGCTGCGCAAAGAAACTCCGCACAGCTTGATGCACCCCCTGAGGCCGAGGGCGCCGCGCCCTCGGCTGCGCGATTCCGAGTTCGGCCCCATCAGCAACTCCGCAGGCGTGTGCGGCGCGGCACGCCATGAACGGCATCCAGTCCGTTCGCGCTGCGCTTGACGCGCCCCTTGCGACCGAGGGCGCCGCGCCCTCGGCTGCGCGACTCCGAGTTCGGCTCCCTCAGCAATTCTGCAGGCGGGTGCGACGCGGCACGCCTCGAACGGCATCCAGCCCGCCCGCGCTGCGAAAAAAAACGCACCGCACAGCTTGACGCGCCCCTTGAGGCCGACGGCGCCGCGTCCTCGGCTGCGCGACTCCTAGTTCGGATCCCTCAGCATCTCCGCAGGTGGGTGCGACGCGACGCGCCTCGAATGGCGTCCAGTCCGTCCGTATGCGCAAACACAACAACGGTTTGGCGCACCCCCTGAAACCGAGATCGCCGCGTCTTCGGCTGCGCGACTCCGAGTTCGGGTCTTCCAGCAATTCGGAAGGCGGGTCCGACACGGCACGCCTCGAACGACATCCAGGTCCGCCCGCGCTGCGCAATGAAAAAAAAACAAAACGCGCAGCTTGACGCGCCCCCTGAAGCCGAGGGCGCCGCGTCCTCGGCTGCGCGATTTCAGGTCTGGGCCCCCCAGCAACTCCGCGGGTGGGTCCGACGCGGCACGCCTCGAACGGCATCCAGTCCGCCCGCGCTGCGCAAAGAAACTCCGCACAGCTTGATGCGCCCCTTGAGGCCGCGGGCGCCGCGCCCTCGGCTGCGCGACTTCGAGTTCGGCTCCCCCGGCAACTCCGCAGGTGTGTGCGGCGCGGCA